GGCTGCGCGCGCGCCCGCCCCGCACCTTCCCGCGGCCGCGCTGGCAGCGCGAGCGGCCGCCGCCTCCGCGCCGCGTCTCGGTGCCCTTGAGCGGCGGCGGCCCCGCCGCCTCGGGCGGCGCTTCGCGGCGGCCGCGTCGCCACATGGCCGCGCCGCTCACATGCTCCGCGCAGCCCGCCGCGCCGCGCCCGCCCGCCGTGGCCGCGCTGATGCTCCGCAGGCTCGCGGCGTCCGTGTGTGCGTGTGTCCTCTCCCGGCGCCTCCGCTGGCGCCTTCTACCTCTTCACGATCCGCTCCGTTTTCTTCTTGAGCGGAGCGCTTTTAGCGCGCATAGCCTGGCCGCGCCGCTGCGCGCTGACGGGCAGCTTGGCCGCCTTCGCGCCGCCGCCCCTGCGGGATGGTCGCGCCGCCGCCAGCTGCTGCTGCCGCTGCTCTCAGCGCTCGGCCGGTGCTGCCGGGCAGGGCCGGGCGCTGCTGGGCGGTGCTGCGGGGAGGGCGCCGAGCGCGGGCCGCACCGCCTGCCTCGCTGCTGCGCGCGCCGCCGCCCCTCGCCGACTGACGGCGCTCGCCCACGCGACCCCTATTTATAGCCTGCGGAGAGGCCCACGCGCAGCCGAGCAGGGGGGGACGGCGCCGCTCCCCAAACGGCCTTTTCCACCCCAAACTGTCCTTCCTCTGCGCCTCGCGTTCTGAGCGGGGGAGAGGCTCTGGGGCGAGGTGCGTGGCCGCCCCATTCCCGCTGTTGGAACTTGACCGGGGCTCTGCGCGTCCCTCTGCCACGATTTGGTTTGGCCCRAGGTGCCGGGGGAGGCATTTTGTTCCGCCCTATTCACCAAGCGCTCCTGCGCTACGGCCTTGCCGTRGCGGCCGCTATCTCCGCTTCTCTTGCGGCAGCGATACGCAAACTGCGTAAGCCTTTAGTGAGGCGCGTGTAATGGCCGTTAGGAGATGGGTGAACAGGGCGGCCCGAGAGGGTCGGTGCTGAGGCCGGCGGAGCCGCGGCCCCTTGTGCGGCGCGGCCGGGAGCAGAGCCTGGCGCTGGGGAACCGCTCCAGCCGGCGCGGCCTCGAGCTCGCGTGAGGCAGCGGCGCAGCCCGCGGGAAATGGCTCTGCCCGCCTGGGGCKCACAAAATGGTGCCCGAGCCGCCGCCCCGGGGCGGGGGGAGCCCCAAGGAGCCCCGTGGCCTGACTTAATTTTTATTTTTATTTTGTTTTAAGGTATCTCCTGGCCTGAGGGGAACTCCTGACCCAGGGAGTTGGAGCCAGGAACCGTTGGGAGTGGGCACTGGAGGAAGGAGGGAGCCTCCTGCTGAGTCCTGGCCTTAACTGCCCCCCTTTGATGAACTTCTGTTTTTTCAATAGAATTTGGTGAGAAAATCAGAGCAGAGCCATTCCTCTGGTCTGGTGAGTGCCCCAGTTATCCTTGCTAGGCCATTGGTTCCCCTAACACAAATATTTTCTGGCTTTAAAACTTTTTTATTTTTGATTTTAACGTAGTGCACTACATAACTTCCCTGTTCTCCCTGTCTTCATAGGTAGTTTGTTTGTGAAACACTGGAACTCTGGCTTGTGGTCCAAATTGTTCCAAGTAAAGGCCCTGCCTGAGTAAGGACAGTAAAATTTCACACATTTCTGTTTATTATTGCAGTGGAGGAGGGAAAAGTATAGAATATTTGGGGCAAACAAGATGAAAATCTCTGTGACAGAATGGAGTCCCTTCTGTCAACATCTAATTGCCTATATTGTTGCTTCAGAATATAAGTTTTAAGCAGTTGGTGTTCTCTTTAGAATTAATTATTGGTCCTTAATCTTAAAAGTCACCTGGGGATTTTACAATCTAAGGTGTAAAAGGAAAACAAGGTAGCAGGAGTGGTTACAGTTGTCTGAACCTGCAACCCCAGGAACCTGAAAGACCATTAAACAAGGGAGAGGCTGTTGTGATCCTTCCAAATCTCTTGAGAGTTTTAATAATAAGTATATGTGTAAAGAAACATTTTGTGAAGTGGTTCAAAGGTATTTATGATTTTTTTTTTTTTTTTTCCGGCTAAGTTGGGAGAAGAGTTAAAACTAAATCAACAGGAAACACTTTTAAGGTAAAGGCTTCCTCAAAGTATCACCAATGTATCCGTGTGCAGATACACTGTAACCTTGATGGTATAGAAAAGCCGGTAGTGGGAAGAGGAGCAAACTCTGAATTATTTATTCTGTTCCTCTTCTGGCTACAGTTGGAATCTTGAATCACATTTTACGTTCTCTTATAGAAAACCATGGTGAAATGCTGAGTTGAGGCAATAGTGCAGTTAGAATCCAGGCCCTGCTCGCTTGTAGTTCCTGACTTGTGTCGGGCCTTTCCTTAGCTTTGAAATGTGCTAGATACAATGTGGGTGGAAGGGATTTTGTGTCTCTGCTAGCCCGGATCTGCCTTCACCCGCCACTCGCTTTTGTCATGGAGGCCCGGGGAGGCCGAGGCCGCCATGGCGGCGCCTCTCCCCCCCCCGGCAGCCCGCGGGGCGCGCGGCCCCGCCCCTCAGCCCTCGCTGGCCAATGAGAGTGCGCAAAGCAGGAGGCGATGACCGCGCCTCGCTCGCGGGCCCCGCCCTTCMCACCGGGGCACGTCGCCGCGCCTCATTGGCTCCGCTGTTGCCGGGAGACCAGGCGTGGCCAATAAATGAGTGGCTTATTGCCCAGGCTGACCGTGCGCTGACAGGCTGCGGCGGCCGGGCGCGCCGCCGGTGCTTCCTGCCATGCTGCCGAGCGCGACGTTGCATCATCGGCAGCGGCGCGCGCCGGGCGCGCTGAGGTGAGGGGCGGGCGGGGGCTGCTGGGCTGCCCCTCAGGGGCTGCCCCCCAGGGGCTGCCCCCCAGGGGCTGCCCCCCAGGGCGCCGGGCGGCTCCTGCTCCGCGGCCGCGGGGACAGGCGGGAGCCGCCGCCCAGCACCGCGCAGGCCGCTCAGTAACGCGTTCCTGTGCTGCGGAGGTTAATACTCTGTAGGTTTTCGTTTTATTTATTTTTTGTTTTGTCTTTAACTGGTTAAAGGAGCTAAAGCGCCTGGCAGAGTGTATAACATCCCCCTTCAGCATCTTAATTCATCAGCTTCTTAATGGAGGGCAGCCTCTGAGGGAGTCGCACATGTGATGGATTTGATATTTTTGTCTTGAAGTGTTGCCMCATGTCTTCCCAAAACAAAAGAAAGCGTATTTGCTTTATTTATTTTTTTTTCCTAAAGCTGAAGTAGGGGCTGTTGAGTAGTAGCAAAAGTTGTTAAAAAGGAGCGTTTTACTGACTGACTTCATTTTGGATCCCTATGTTTAGTAGGTGTATAAAATCCAAGTTATTTCATGTCAGTTCTTGCACAAAGAGAGTTTGTGTTTTGGTCAAGGTAGTATGAAGATTAAACTGAAATTTCTTAAGCAGTTATCAGTTATATGCTAAAATGGCTACTTGCTGGGTATATATTTGTATCAAAATGTAGCACTAGTTCATGAGTCAGCTCACTCTGCGTTGATTTAGTTGACATTGCAGTATGAAAAGGACTCCTTTTTGGGAAACAAAAGTGGGCTTTTGTGCATCTCAGCTCCTAGTGTATACATCACGTCAGTGCACCTTGGGTGATACATTCAGATGAATTGATCTTGAAATCCCTCCAACCTATCCTCAGGTGCTAGGCTTGATTTGAATAGCTTTAATTTACTTTCTTAGATATCTGAAACTGTGGTGTCCTAGATTAGTTGTTAAAGTATGGCCTTGTTTCTTTATGTAGCTTCATTGTGTCTATCTGTTTTAAAAATGCTTGCCTTCTGACTATAAGATTATCATTTAAAAATGTCTGTATTCTAGAAGCGGTCTTACATTAAAGCTCAGTTCCTAAAAAAGGCAGAAATAGGGAGTCTGATTTCATGTGTAGAAGTCTGTGGTGTTTAATTTTGGGAGGGCGCATATAGGTGGAGAATAGAGGCTCTTGCTTACCCTTTGGAAGTGAAATTTTATGCTTACCTATGTCTCATACAGACTACAACAAAGAAGAGTTTATGAAATGATTCAGAGACTGCCTGTAAACCTCTTGAAATCTGGAACTCAGGATCATATCACACTGGTTGCTAGGTCCTTGGACATCTTCTGTGTATAGCATAGTGTGTTTTTTACTGCTCGTTGTACTACCATTAGGTGCACTTCTAGTAAAGATTGCTGCTTAGTCTTTTCTGATTTGCAGTGAATGAAATTAGTAATATTTTGTAATCCAATTTACTTTTAACCAGTCCCCACACACATACCACATGCTAAGCTTTCTGCATCTTTAAAATATGGTTTCACTTCATTGTTAACTTGCCAAAACATATTCTTACTTGCTTTTATGATTTTAACACTTTTATGTTTCTTCTTATAGATAAGAAAGCCAGCCGTAGTGCGAGACTGTAGTCCAACCTGTGAACTTTGACGACTTTCTTATTGAATGTTACTATCTTTTAGAAAAAGTGAGTGTCCTTTTTAAAAAAAAACTTTTTTTTTTTAAGGATTTTTCTCAGCAGGAAATGAACAGAGAGACTTCTCTTTGCCTGACCAAAAATCTTTGTGTTCACTAAATAAAGTGGAGTCTTGCATGGAAATGTTTCATTAACTGCATGTGTACAGTGTTTCATTTCTCATGTTGTCACTTGTTGAGCTGATGATAAGATTTTGTGATTCTTTTGTATTCCAAATTCTTGAATTGACTGTTTTGAGCTCTGTCTGTTGCGGATATGCCAAGTTATTCATTCATCAGTRCAGAAACTGGTTATGGTTTTCCCAAACATGATAGTCTTCACCTCACTTTTTCCTCAGCTACGGCTGAGATATAGATGAGCTGTGAACTTGTCTTGTCTTTTTTGTTATTCTGTTCTGTAACTTGAAAAAAAAATGCCCTGTGACAATCAGCTGGTAGGTATTAAGTCTCAATTATTTTTGTTTTTTCAATTCTGATAATCTTCCGTTCTGTGTTTGGAAAGTGTATGCATAAATTTGTGCCCTGTGGTTGCTGGACACTGGTTTCTATGTGCAGTGCTTCAGTTAATAGAAATGGGCCAAAAGTGACACTGTGATTTTACGCATGGAACCTGTGATACGTGAGCAGCCTCCATAGCCCGGTCACAGTCACAGACCAAACCTTAAACAGGTATTTGATGTATTAGATTTGGAGGAGTTGACAGTTGCGGGTCAGTTGTTAAAACCTTGTCCATAGTATTGCTAAACTGTGAAAGCTGGTTTTGTGGTTGGAAAGATGTTCAGTCCCATTTCTTTATTTATGATGAAGAGAAATGAGTGAGAATACTGGCTTTGGGAAATAAATTTGTGGGCTGAATTCTTTTGTCAGCTCAGTAGTCTCCAACTTGTGACCTTAGGGCTGTTAGCAATGTGAAATAATACTGTGTTGGGACTAACTATTATTTTTTGAAGAGTACACCAAGGCCTTTTCTGGACTGTTTCATGTCAGACAGACCATGATTCTCTCCCCTCTGCAACCTCACCTGCATAACAGATAATGAGTTTCTTGTCTTTTTTGATAATTTGGGATTATTAGTGGGAGYGAAACGACATTGTTAACATTAAAAAAAGTAGAAATGGATTTTTTTCCCCTTAAATTTTAATGTGGGGAGCACTCTTCTATTGTCTGAAACGTTAAGCTAGCAGATTTCTATGGTGTATGTGCATTTGTTTAATATGGTGCTTGCCTCAATGCTATACAAACAGGCTACTAAAAAAAAAAATGCGGCTTGGTGTCATAGAATTGTAGGGTGGTAAGTTGCATCATGATTTTCTCATTTCTATTCTTTTTTTTTTTTCTTTCTTTTTTTTTCTTCCTCTTCTTGTTTGGTTGTTGCTGTGAGAAAGAATGGTTCATCAAGTTCCAGAAAACATAACCTTTCCAAATGAAGAAGAGAAGATATTGCAGCTCTGGAAGAATCTTAATTGCTTCCAGGAATGCCTGAAGCAATCAAAGAACAGACCTAGGTAAGAATCTGATGAAAGCTCCAGCAATTGTTTGTAGCAATTCAGGATTGTGGGGAGTGGAGTTTTTTTGGCCTTCTACTCAGGTTAACTAACTGCTGTTTGCTTTGCAAGTAGCAGCATTGGCTAACATTGTCATCATATCGGTTGCTATTTATATTTCATGTTAAAAGTCTTTAAAAGTGTAGAAACAGCCATAACAAAACCATTTTCCTGTTTGATAAGTTTATGAGAAAAACTGCAGATGAAAAGGAGCAGCTCTTACCTTTGTTTGTCAACTCTGGAGCAGCAAGCTGGCATTTTGAGCAGTTCAGGAGAAGCAGGGTGTGAAAGTTGTAGTGTTCAGTTTGATTTTTTTTCATTCTGATAGCTGAGGCAAAGCAAACCACTATACACAGTTCATGCATTTCTACTTAAGGCTTAAGTGGCCTAGCAGTGTTATGGTGAACTTCCATAAAATCTTGCCAGAACTTGCTGGTAGGATCTCTATGGTTTGAAATATTCCTTCTATTCCCACTGCACTTCTGCCAATGTGACAGCTGTGCCGACCAAKAGAGGAAGAAACTGAGGTTGTCCAAGCAAGATATGAGAAGCATAGCTACACAGATTTACTTAGCATTTTTCAGGATTTGCTGGTTAGTTTTAATTAATGTCTTTCTGCACCTTAGGTTTAACTTCTATGATGGCCCACCGTTTGCCACCGGGCTTCCACACTACGGACATATTCTTGCAGGAACCATTAAAGACATAGTAACCAGATTCGCCCATCAGAGTGGTTTTCATGTAGACAGAAGGTTTGGATGGGATTGCCATGGTTTACCTGTGGTATGTGTCAAAAATAGACCTGCAAATATTTTCTGTTGCTTCCTCTTTACATTTTTTTACCTGCTCATCAGTCATGTATCTCTTCTCCTTGCGTGTGCCTTTTCTGCTGAAATGAAAGTTCCAAGTTCTTCACCCACTGTGTTGCTCTGGCTTTTTACTCTTTGTATGTGGTGATATCAGGTGCTTCCTACTGATTATGTCCCCCTACTCGCTCTGTTCACTACTGTAACTACTTTCTGTTTTATCAATATGCATTTCAAGTGGTGGGTGTTGGACTTTTTTTTGATAGTATACCAAGATTTTCCTTTGAAACCTCTGCTTATTTCAGGTGCAATGCTCATAAACTCTCAAAAGGATAAAGGAGGCCTTTTGGCTTTGATGTCAGAATGCAGAGAGAGATAAAGGAACTAGAGAAATCCTGAAAGTTTTTGATGATGTTGTTGGTTTTTAATGCTCTCAGGAATATGAAATCGACAAAACCTTAGGCATCAAAGGACCAGAGGATGTGGCAAAGATGGGGATTGCTGAATACAATGCCCAGTGCAGAGGAATTGTGATGAGATACTCTAAAGAGTGGGAGGTAAGTAAAATAGCAGTATATGTATCTGGAGTAACTCACAGCAGAACTTCATCTTGTGATCATGAATAAATTGTTTGTTTGTATGTTTATGTGTTTTTCCATGCATTTTGGATTACTAATTAAAATATTGTGAAATACAAGCTGCTAAGAAATTAAAGTTGGCAGATACAGCAAGCAAAATATTAACCGAAATTAACCTTTTAAAACTTTTTTAAAGCAAAAAAGAATTTCTCTATTTTCAAAAACAAGTGATTGCTTTGAAATAAGTTTTAGACTATAAATGAAATTCATTTCAATATCTGGTTTGTGACAGCACAGTAATAAATTTAAGTATTTTGGGGACTGTATTAGGAGAAATTTCTGGTGTTCCTTTTGGAAACAGTGTCTATTTTCTGTCTGGAGTGGCTAACAAGCCTGTGGATGTTTCTTGGGTGCATGAAACTTCTCAATTCTGAGACCAAATGGAATAACTCAACTTCTTCTAATAATTAGTATTATTATTTGGATTCTATATTTGGAATACCAGAGTGCCTCAAAGGACMGAAGCACAACTGGTGCATCTCAGGAGCTCGGATACTGTATGAGAATGTTGAGACAGAACTCACTTGTTTTGGTCTCAGTTTAGTAGTTTGACTGGTTGCTGTATATGTAACTATATCGGGACAGGTGCCTCCGGGCTTGGTTATTTGCAGAGCTGACAGTTCCTATAGTTGGAAAATTAGCAAGAGAGAACCACTTGTCCAAGGGAATTGCATAGCTAACTCATTAGTTTTCATGTTCAGTGCCAGCGGGCATAAACATAAGCTATCCTCGGATAGGGACAAACACCTGTCAGTTCGGTTCATATCCCTGGGAAGTCAGCAAGGTAGTTTGCCCTGAAATAACTTGGATACCTTGTCATAATGTACCAAATTCTCCCAGATTTCTTTGTCTCCAACTTTGATTATGTTTTGATATAAACCAGATCAGCTTTCCAAGGGAGTTTTAAGCTGAGTTGGTAGGCTGTTCTGTGCTCTGGATTTTGAATACCTTTGACTAGTAGGTATAAAAATAGAAAATAAGTTTCAGGCTCTTGAACTTCAAGAACTGAACTCTTAAAAAATTATCTTTGCTCCACCATTTTTATTTAGTAGTGTTGAACACATTTGCTTTTTACATGATCTAGATTTTGTTGTATGTTCATGGCTTCCTTTGCTTATTTTTGTCTGTTTAAAGAGACTAGTTTGAACTTGTCAGGCTTAAATGTAGATACATTTCAGTGATGTGGGCAAATACTCTTCTCTTTAAATCAAGCTGTTGTAGTAGAATAAATATTGGAAATGTACCATTTTTTTTTATATTCATGTGTGTTTTAAGCTACTTTATTTGTTTCTTAACAGTTCAATGTTACCAGGCTAGGACGCTGGATTGACTTTGAAAATGACTATAAAACTCTTTATCCTGAGTTCATGGAATCTGTGTGGTAAGTTAACTTGAATACTTTGCATATGCTTTACCAGTTCAGTTAAAAATGCTGAATGTTAAAAATCCTTCAGTTGTTGTCCACATGTGTTTACTGAATGGTGATGTGAAATAGGGAAGTAGTAGGATGTTTTGTTTTTGTTTAGTAAAATGTTGCTAAACTTCTCTTAATCATGAAATCTTACTATTCCACATCAGCTTAAAAGCAGTTTTACTGATCTAGTAATGTTTAAGAAATGGTATTATATTTCTACCTTCTTGTTGCTTTTAGTACTCTTATCTCTCCCTGACCAAGAAGTTGTTATCTAGACAATCAAACTGAAAATCTCCACGTGTTAGTATAGCTATATCAAGTTTACATCCATTAGAAGTGTTGGTTTCAGTAATCATCTAGTGTATTTCTCATAGAATTTCCTTATTTTTGAATTCCTTTTCTTTTGTTCTTTTAAGATGCTATAGCTTAAATTTAAATTAATTTCCAGGTAAGTAAARAAGACAAAACTGCAAATTAACTTCTTCAGTGACTGTAATCTGGTGACTGTATTGAACTAACAGCTTTATTGTGTTTTGATTATATGTTTAGCGGTGGCTGTCATATTATCATGTTTAGACTTGAAATGGTTTAGACCTCAGACATCAGATACATCTTATGTTAATATTGTCTTGTTCTGCAGCTATTGTACAGGTCAACACTGCTAGAGAACTTTTTAGTGTCTTATAATGGAGTTGGCTGAAAATGGCCGCTTGATGGTGGCTGACTAAAGTATAAGGCAAGTTTTTAGTCTGCTAAATCTTGACTTAGCACAAAACTTCATCCTGTTATGGATAAAAAGCCATAGTGTTTTGGCAGGCCCTCTGTTGGTGATTAGTGCCTCGTAGTACTGAAGTATTAAACTTGTGCAGTATTTAGCAACGATACGTGATGAATGTCATGGGTTCTCCGTGTCTTTAAAACATTTGGGGTTGATCTTTTAAGTTTTAATTCTGTAAGAGTGTGGATATTTGCTTGTTATCTAAATTGCTGTCTCTTCCATTGGCTGCCTGTATGGGTTCTTAGGCCAGCTGATTGCTCCCTGTGTGCTGCAGCATCAATTTAAATAGCTTTCCGCACCATCTAGTGTCCCCAGATGCGCATTCTGAACATCGTGGAATTTTTAACATAGTGGAAAGCTTTTGTAGACATGGTTCACTTCCAGATTCTCCTGTGATGTTTTCCTAACCTAATCTTTAATTTGTAATTAGTAATAGTAGTAATTAAGTTCATAATTCTTTTTTTAAAAGCCCCTC